GATGAGGTTGAGCGTGTCAGATCTTATGCATGTCTAGCTCTCGGGAGAATGAGTGACAAAGCAGCAACTTCTGAAGTGATTAGAGCACTACTGAATGCACTTGGTGATGAGAATGAGTGTGTCAGATATTGTGCATGTGAAGCTGTCTGGAAAATGGGTGACAAGGCAGCAACTTCTGAAGTGATTAGAGCACTAATCAATGCACTTGGTGATAAGGTTGTGCGTGTCAGATCTTATGCATGTCTAGCTCTCGGGAGAATGAGTGACAAAGCAGCAACTTCTGAAGTGATTAGAGCACTACTGAATGCACTTGGTGATGAGAATGAGTGTGTCAGATATTGTGCATGTGAAGCTGTCTGGAAAATGGGTGACAAGGCAGCAACTTCTGAAGTGATTAGAGCACTAATCAATGCACTTGGTGATAAGGTTGTGCGTGTCAGATCTTATGTATGTGAAACTGTCGGGAAAATGGGTGAGAAAGCAGCAACTTCTGAAGTGATTAGAGCACTACTCAATGCACTTGGTGATGAGAATGAGTGTGTCAGATCTTATGCATGTGAAGCTCTCGGGAAAATGGGTGACAAGGCAGCAACTTCTGAAGTGGTTAGAGCACTACTCAGTGCACTTGGTAATGAGAATGAGCGTGTCAGCTCTTCGGCAAGGAAGGGTCTGGCGGAAATGAGTGAAAAAGCATCGATTAACGATAGGATGATAGGACTGTTGGATGCACTTAGTGTTGATAGTTGGCGTCTTTCTCAGAAAACTTCCATTTCTGAGTTACCGGTGGGACGGGTGGGTTCAGATGGTGTCTTCAAGATTTGCATGAAGAAGTATCATTTAGATTATCTGAAAACTCTTTCTGCAGATCAACTCATCAGCGGATTTTTCGAGACTGAAAATGTTGATTGGCTTCCTGTTATAACCGTTGCTGCACTTCTGCAGGGAAGTGCAGTGACCGTTACTGAAAAGACTATTGTAGTATATGGTAGTAAAGATCCAGCGGTGGTGGACGTTTTCAGCTTAAATCATGGAAGACTGAGTCAGAAATTAGTTGAGGCTTTTGTTGATCAAGCAAGAAAACTTGACTTACCTTGAGAACTGCCTAGTTCTTTTGTTATGTGAAATGCTGTCGAAAGTTTAACTATGGTATGAAAAGCTGCTAGTTCGTTCTGCATTTTACTGTGTTATGGTTGATGGATTAGTAAGTGCCTGGACACTCAGTGTCAGCTTAAGGTTGTGATTTGAAGAGTGAATATCGTATTAGTGTCTTATGAAATGCTTTTCTCTGTTGTGCTTTCTGTTGTTCTTGGTTTACTGCTGTAAAAACGTTTGAAAGTTTGTAGAATAAAACAATAAGAAATTATTTATATTCTTTATTTATACTAATACGAATACTATGTAATGGTAGCGGACAGAATATTAATCCGATCAGGAATAGTTATATATACAACCTTCCGATAATGAAAAATAAAGGAGAATATAACGATAATCAATACTACCGTGGTACTGATATTAGATTATATAAAACCGATCACGCTACATACCTCCTCAAACGTTTGAGGAAAACCATTGATTTCCGACGTCAAATGCATCAAAATTCCAAACGATCTGATCCACTGCTTATGATGGCAAAGCACTGAATGGCAGTTCACCGAAGTTGATCAACAACCTTAGAGAAATTCTTGCACGCTTGGGATAATTAAACTTAATTCTTGTTGTGTTGTAGCTGAATATGATAACCGGAGGTGAAGATTTTATTTAATAACGTAAAGCTCTCAGTTGTAACTAAGCTTTAACCTTTTGTCAAACATTCGATTGATTTTAACAATATTAAAATCTTAGCTCGTGACAGTAGACGCTATCAGTTGCTGATTAGAGAATCCTTGGCTATCTGTACTAATTCTCCTCAGTTCAACGAGACAGACCGATGTTTCTCGATTTACGGAGAACAGAAAAGAATGAACAATAAAATTTGTGTATATATACTGTAGAGAATAGTAGAGTTCATATTTTCGTTTTCATACCAGTTTGTAGTTTGTTTATTTTAATTTATACTGATGATGAATGGTAGATTCAACACGTCTACGTTATTTTATTAATTTAATTAATGAATTAAACGAAATAAGCTGCGACAATTATGTAAAATTCTATATTTCTAAAAGTCCTTTCATTAAATAATGATAGTTTCTCCCGCTTTTTTTTAATAAGAAGGAAACTTTTTCTCACTGTTATAATTATTTTCTCGGAGTATAAACCGGCTTGACATTCAACCTCTTTTTCCCCTTTTTTCTGGGAATTTTAGAAAATGCTGTAGAAACCTGATACAAACTGATTTTTTAGGTTTATCCTTTTTCTTCTATCTAATGTGTCTTCATGTCATAACAAATCAGAAATGAACGATGGTTTTAGTAATTTGTGCAAAGTTTAGCAACTATAGCAAATGAAAAGTTTCAGATGAGAAGATCAGTGCACTTTCATCGATGATGATAATGAAACGAAATGAATTCACATAATTCGTCAATGACTGGCTTCATAAGCGCGATATGAGGACATGATTGAAACAAGATGCTTCAGAGAAAATATTCACTTGAGCATTATGTCAAAGTAATGATCTAGATTGAGAAAATGAAAAGTAGAAAGCGGCTGATAGCCACAGCGTCAGTCTCATTATCACCACCATTATCTGCTCCGCCAAGAGCAGCATGAATGATAAATAAAAAGAGATATAAGCTTGATATCTACGATTATCTATGACTATGTTTGAATGCTGTATAAAATTTTTTAAATACGTTAAGTGAATTTTCAGTTTATGTCTAGCAATACATTATTTAACACATTGTAATAAATCTTACTTGTCATTTTTTTGCATTCGCTTATTTCCTGTATTTCTGAAAAAACATTAATAACTTTTCTGTTTTTCGAAGGAGCAAAATCCTCTCCTGTTCCTATTTTTTGAAAATGGATAGTAAGACCATTTTCTCTGAAAATGATGCGGTCAAGGTTCTTCTTTCGAACAGTGGAAGCTCTCTCGCTACTTTCAATCAAAAGTTATTAAAAAAATAGCTATTATTATTTTATATTGACGCTTGAAAAAGACAAAAAAGGTCAAAGTGTATCTTATTTAAACACATGTTGAAGATATTTAGTGATAGTGCAATTTAAGAAAAATCAAGACACAGTTATTAAAGTTAATTTTAACTTATGCCAATTAGGAGTTCATTTCATATCATATATTCTGCATGATTGAGAAAATAACTATATTTTTTGAATGTATGGATCGTAGTAAGCTCTTATTTCATACAATAGATGCCAAGATATCAAAAATACAAATGGATCTAACTTTGTTTACAAGCAAATGTTAAAAGTACTTTCTTCTAAAGTACTTCTATTCCAAGTCTCGATGATTGATAAGTAAAAAGTTCTGACATCAATAAGAAAAGTTGAATTTCAGTTTTGAGATTTAAAAAACTTGTACATCTATCAAACGATGAGTTCCACTTTTATGAGCTTAACTTTTAATTAAAAAACCATCTCTGACGGTAACAATAACAAAAGCATGAGTAGAAAGGAATTTATATTAACGTCCTTACCAAGGTTAATTACTGATTCACTTTTTCTTTCAACTGTTTCCAAACTATATCTGTACACGTTATATGTATACATAGTTTAACCTTTTCAGTTTGTTTTATGAAACGACAGAAAGAAAGAAGGCAAGCGAAACGTTGATTTATTCAATGCCATATGTTCAACTATTTCTTTTCTCTTTTTTTTTGTCCGTTTTGTGCACACATAACCGATCACCCTTTAACGTTTGTTCATTTGATTTTCGAGAGCATACATCTTCTTAGCTCTGTTCAAGAATCAACATGCTTTATCTTCATGTCAAGATGTGAACTTTTTATTCAATTATTAAAAATGTTAGATAATGAACAAATAGATTTTGCGAGAGAATTATTAGCAAATAACAATCTCAAAAATAAGGAATTATTTGAATATCATGATCAAGACGGGAATACATTATTACACCGGTATTTAGTTAAAAATAAACCAGAGATTGTACGTTTTCTGATTTACAATGGAGCAGAAGTCAATGTATTGAATAAAGATGGATGGTTACCATTCCATTTGGCCGTATTTTGTTCTGCAGATATAAATATACTGCAGTGTATTGTTGATGCGTCGCATGGAAAATATACAAGATGATAAGTGAGTAGAAAATCTGTTTTACGAACACAAACATATGAAGTTTTTTCATAGTTTGAAACTAATTTATTGTTATCAACTGGTTCGATATATTTCCACTGGGAGAGAAAAATATCTTCATCCTTTACACGTTCGTAAGAGTATCTGTTGTCATATGTACTGCAATTTTATACGATTTTCTATTGCTATGAAACTCAAATTCCTATTTTTAATCAAGTCTGAATGTTTGTTGGCTTGATTAAACTTGTATCAACGTTTTTTTTAGTAATTCTGTCTGCAACTTATTTTTGCGATGTTGGACAACACAATGTCTTATTTTTTAATTTAGTCACCTTTTTGAAACAGGATAATTTTAATTTTAGGAATTATCAAATTGAACACATCGATTCATTATTTGATGGATGCATCGGGCAACAAATTGGCATGAATGCATAAGATTTATTAAAAAATGGAGTAATATTAAAGAATATTCAATAATCGCGATCATGTCGCTTTCTGATTGTTATACTATTATTTTACTTTATAAGTTTTTTTATTTTGATTAATTAACAAATAACAACAAATAAATGAAGTGACTTACGCAAAAAGTGATTAACAGAAAGAGATTTTTATTTCAGATGCAAACAATTTTTCAACTTTTTTTCTTCAATTTTCCGCGGTATATAGGAAATCGTTGAGGAATACGGAGATAACAAAAACTTTGAAAATAGTGGAAATACCCACAAAAAGAAACTTCAGTCTTGAACTCTGTTCATGTTGATCACAAAAGTATTGTTCGAGTTGATATCGCGAATACTTTTAAACATAGAAAAATCTATTTTTTTTTATTACCCTGGCTTACACTATTGATCTTGTCTTTCTCTTTGAAGCTACATAGGATTTTTCCAACACCACAAAAGTGCACAAAATAAAAGACTTTTCTCAATCCACGGGCTATAGAATAGTTATGAAGAAATTCTCACGATTAAAAACCTGGAGTTCTGAAAAATCTCCATAGATAATGTCAGAAAAATATTTTCATCGCCAAATTTTTATAAGCCAACGCGTTCACTCCCCACTCCCGTTAGAAGCAGAATACTGGTATAAATGAATTATTGGATACAGTGAATTTTAACGTTTGTGCTTGTAGTACAATTAGAGGTGCAAAATCTACAGGAAATTTCCGGATACAGAAGCACAAATGCTAAGTTTTTGAAGTTTTTCTGGAAAATTTCCTCGAATTAAAATTCTTTTACCCGTCAACCATTGAAGATTCCGCACCTCTAACTGCAATCACCATAACAAAGAAAAAATCAACAATAACAAAAAACAACAACAACCCTTTTATTACGTATATAGTCAATGCGACAATTTCAGGACTTTAACTTGTGTTTGGAGCTGTCGCTGCTCTAAAAATAATGACACCATAGAATAAAAGTAAAGAAAAGATTCAAAACAAAGATTACCTGCTCAATATAACCATGATGAATTAGAATTATTCTGCAAGCATTATTAATATGTTTAAATCGATCATTATGCAAAAGAATTCCACCAAACCACCTAGATACCACTACCAAAACATTTTTTACATCAACAATCTAATAACTAAATAAATTAGACAATTTATTCAACTCATAAAATATATGAAAACTAACATCCATCAAATGTAACATTCGACTCGCTGCATCCGTTTCACCATCATCATCACAATCAGCTAAAAGAACGTTTCTTTTCTCATCCCATATTCTTAAACAATATAATGCATAAATATAACAATGGAAGGTAAAATGTTTAATCGTATTTAATATATACCTGTATGCGTAAATATTATGGGTGGCATTTGCAATTTTTTTATTCTCTTTTAATTTTGCTAAAACCAATGATACCTAAAAATATCTCATAAAATACTTATCAGTTTACACTTTCATAGTATTAAATAACCTCATTAATTCATAAATACCTGTTCTTTACTATGAACTGGTGCCAAATGTGCCTGAAAAGTACTTCTTCGATCTTCAAATGCTTCATCACTATAGATAGGAGGCAATTCGATTATTGATTTTATACGAGCATTGGATAGTACTTGTTTATCATCTGTATCTCCTACTATAAAAATATATAACCGTTTTCGTTGCATATCTTTTCAAATTTTTTAACATCATACATTTATTTACTTGTAGTTGAATCAAATTATTTGTTTTAAATTCCCCGTCTTTATCCACGAATTCTCGTAATTTTTCCGCCCACAGAAATACAATTGACTTATTGGCATTGTTTCTAAAATGCGTGATTATAGTGAGTATAAATGAGTTTAATTAAATCAAATTTCTCTTACAAATAAACTGTTTCAAGTGCATTAGTTAATTGTTGTCTTTCTGAACCACGTAGCCATGGCGCACTAAAAAAAGCAACAAGAGAAATATGAAACATGAAAATGAGGAAAAAAATATATAAAAACATACTTTATATTGTACTTTGGAGGACATAGAGTTGGATAACCATCACAAAATGTGATATCAAGAGAAACTGAACGTTGTGGATTAGAATCAATTGTAAGTTCGTATGTTCTATCAATGTCAGATGACGTATCTAATTTCCATTGTTTTTCGCTGTAAATACTATTTAATGCTTCGATCTCATCAACCTATTTATAATATACTTATAGAATAATAATGACACAAATATGAACAAGAAATTAATTTACCTGTAACTGAACCCAGTCTTCCGACATAATATATCTCCTTAAAAAGAGTCTAGAATAATGATTTTTAAATACAATGAACTTCTATTGTGATTTAACTACGCTTTCTATTCTAACAAAGTACTTTAATAGTTGAAACAACAAATGACCACTGTAAAAGCTAATATGTTTAAGGCATCTTGTCTATTGATCCTGCTATATGGCAGTAAAACATGGTTAATAACGGAAAAGATCAAACGTAAATTAAATAGTTTTGCAAGTAGCTGTTATAGAATAATGCTTGGAATTAGGCGTGGAGATCATATTTCCAATGTCACCATATACAACAGACTAGGTGTGGACAAACTCATAAAAACAATTGTTAAAAGACAGCTCGAATAGGTAGGACATATTTGTAGACGTTCAGATTCTGAGCCCTTTGGTTTGTTTCAAACAATCCAGGGAAGCAGGCACAGGACTATCTTGATTATGTGTTGAACTTGCTAAACAATGGTTTTCGCCATAAGAAGTATTGGAAAGTGATGGACATTGTAAAGAGTGAGCACAAATGGAAGAAGTTCGTGATCGCCTGCTCGAGATCAGCCGCGTGATGATGAACAACAAATTATCTGCGCACAATAAAAATAAATCTAAACTATATAAAATCAAGTTTATTTGATTCAAAATTAAAGTAAGGTATAAAAATAAATAAAATAACTTTATTGTTCATCATTGTTAAGTTTTCAACCTTCTAAATGTGTGTTCATGGTATGGATTCGCGTTTTTTCAATATGTTTGCACAGCATTGTTTATAATATGTAAAGCGTGTTGCACCCAAATGAATACTATAATCTCTATGCCACCTTGTCACAATAACAAGAATATTTACGAGATTTTTTAACTAAAATACGTACAAAAATAAATAAATAAACTTTATGATTATTCAGTATGCTACATACAATTAATGGTTCTAATACCCAAGCGCCAGCACGATTTTCACCATCATCATTACATTCACTAATTAATTTACCATTCTCACTCATAATCCTTAAAGATAAAAGAGATATAAAGACACGAATTATATAATTATGCATAAATCTAGTTTTCTTACCTGTATGCATAAACGTTATGTTTAGCATTCGCAATTTTTTTGTGCTTTTTTAGCTCGTCTAAAACCATTTGAATCTTAAAAACAACCATTAATAATGATACGTGATGAACATTCGATTTGTAATCTCTGTATTTTCTATAATTACTTGGCATTGATGCTCAATATTTGCCATATGAGCCTGGAATACACTTGCCCTATCTTCATCTGTTGGATCATCCGTTATAATCATCGGACATTGATATTTTTCTAGAACAATAATTTTTCCATAGATTTCGATATTTTAGTTGTTTCAAAATCATATAGTACTTTCCAATGATAATTCAGGAGATTTTGGATGTTGATTGATATCACATACCGAAGAAATATCATGCTGATGTTGATCTCCATCGGCACCTAATCGATCGTAATCGAAAATAAAAGAAAACAATAACAATATGAAAAAATTCGAAAACAAATCGATTAAAATAAATAATTTCTCCAGTTTTATATAAGACAATGTTAGTCACTTATTTTAAGATGTTCAAGAAGAAAAGGTGTGATGCATTATCAAATAGAGTCAATACGTCAATTCTATTCAAATATTCAATAGTAATATTCAAGTAGTAGTAGTAGTAAATGTATATCTGACTACCTTCAACGTAGATTTCTTGTTCATCTAAAAAATCACTAACAGCTTGAGCCATACGATAAATAATTGATTCGTTTAAATTTTCACTAAAGACAATTGAAATACGTTACTAACTATCTGTTCCCTTTTTACAATACTAATAGAAATCACGCACCTCACAATTTGTTCTAATTTAGCAGTCAGATGTTGTCTTGTGACGCCTCGTAAAGACGGTGCATATAGAGAATATTTGGGTTTACTTTCATATGGATAGCCATCAACGAATGTAACCTAATTTAACATAGATTCCTTGGCTACTGTATTCATTTTAATGGTCGAGATAAATTAGAAGTACAAGTTGAACGCAAAACTCTACAACCAAGTCATTTTTTTTCTGCATTTTTTATTTTGATTATAGGGCTTTGCTCATAACGGGTGGCGCATAAAGAATAAGCCTCTCAGTATTTTGTGAATATTTCTCTCAGTTTTCGATGCTCTGACTTGATTTTTTCTTCAAAAGATAGCCTGTGCAATTCTCTACAAAATCCAATGGAAAGAGCTCTTCAAAAGGATGACTAGAAAACCATATCTGGTCAGCAATGCTATACTACAAAAAAGTCCACTTTCAAAAGCACTTTTTTTACAAAACTAATTATTTCTCTTTTTCTGACGAAACAGATTTCAGGGCATTCTAAAGCAAGTTTCCTATGTATTTAGGTGTACTCTTTCTAATAGAGCTCAAAAAAAGATCTTCAGATAATTTTGTGAGGTCGCAATGGCCAATGTTCTTGAAAAAATGAGTTAGAACCACTGATCATTCTCCTTAGTCGCACCAGTTATTACAGAAAAGAGCCTTTGCAACAGTTCACTCGGGTGGAAACGAAAGAAAATATACTTTCTTTCAATTTAGTAATAAATCTGAATACGTATTAAATATATATTTGACTTAGCTAAATCAAAATTTTGATGAACCTCAGTGGAAGATCCTTAAAACGTGAATAAGGGAGCACAAATGAAATGTTTTGTTCGGATAGATTTAGAATATGCCAAAAAAGTATTTGGTCAACTGATAGAGCTTTTCATGGACTACAAAGTGACGTATTCAGTTTTTTCTGTATGTGGTCAAAGAGCGATGCAAACTTACAAAAACCAGAAACAGTAGCTTGAAAGTAGAGCTTTTTGTAGTATAGCATTGCTGACCAGATATGGTTTTCTAGTCATCCTTTTGAAGAGCTCTTTCCATTGGATTTTGTAGAGAATTGCACAGGCTATCTTTTGAAGAAAAAATCAAGTGAGAGCATCGAAAACTGAGAGAAATATTCACAAAATACTGAGAGGCTCATTCTTTATGCGCTACCCGTTGTCATTTGCCCCTAACTTATCACCACTTCATTTAATCATGAGATGCCTACTTGTAGTTCAACCGGCTGATCAGCTCGACGACCAAGTTTTAGACGATATGTTTCGCTGTTGGAATCGTATTTATACCATTCATCACCATAAATTAACTGAAGTGATTGAATCTCTTCTTCCTAGAATATAGATCATAAAATAAAAGAATGACAAACAAATCTCTCAATGTCACCTGAGCATTGCGCCAGTCTGTTGTAGACATTTAATCTTCTACTATATCTATAATAGGTAATAGTAAACGACAAATCCAATTTACATAATAGATACTACAACCTAACAGGAAAACTGACATATCTGAGTGGTTATGTTGTTTGTCACATACTTCAAACGTACTGTGTTCGTACCTCAGCAGCGACGGGTACGTAACAATCTTGAATAAGTTACTTGTCTTACGAGGGATCCTCCCGAGATGATACCCTCCGTTTCCAGTGATTTATCGAGAATAGTGAGCTAGTAAAAATCCTAAAAGAATTTCACCCCATGGTACTTACTTTGTTCAAAAGTTATAGAATTTTTTTGTTTTTTTGACGTTTGGTGATCGAAAACCTCAAAGTTTCATAACTCAGTCAAATCAAAGAACTAGAGGTTGACATTTTTTTCTATATAGCTGTACTAGATGTCTGTTATTATCATAGATAGTTTCACCCCTCTGACTCTATTACTTGCTAAGTTGTCGAATTTTCTTAAGAAAAATCCATGTGTTTTCCGAAGTGTTTTTTCGGTAACTTATGTTTTCTTTCCTTATTGTAATCACATCACATCTCGATATTTATTTTTCTAATTAAAGCTGTTCTGTATTAGGAAAAAATATTGCCTTGTCAAGTGCGGGCATGTTTGTATGTGAGAAAAAGCGTAGAGAAATGTAAAAAATACAGAGAGAGACTTTCCTTAAACTTGTTATCATCACCTTTTGTGTCAATTTTAGATCCATATTGGTTCCTACTGTATCTATTTCAAAAATGTACCTCGATAACCTGTTATTTATGCTAATCAAGTAAACCATTTTTTCCTGAAATCTAGTAAATAAGGAGAGTGAATATGTTTATGGTCATAATCGATCAAGACAATATCTCGTATTTTAAAATAACCTACATCATTATAAATCCCCCATAGAAAGGTGAATTACAGCAACAACTTCGTACAAATAAATAACAATTTCTTCACTAAAAACCTGTTTTCTTGATTAGTATAAATAACAGATTATCGAAGTACATTTTTTTGTTAGAATTTAAAATAAATAAAAAAGTATTAATAACCAAATTCTATAACTTTTGAACAAAGTACCATGGGGCGAAATTCTTTTAGGGTTTTTACTAGCTCGCTATTCTCGATAAATCATTGAAAACGGAGTGTATCATCTCGGGAGAGGCCCTCGTTAGTGTCCCAGATCATCCGTCCGACAGTATATCTTCTACGTTGTAACGTACAATACAGCTCCGATGGCTAGCTCGCATAACTTTATGGAAAGCTAGTACGTGGTTAGTGAGTGTGTATATGAAAGAACTCTGCATCAAGCTAGTCTTCTGGTCATAGCTATGGTTAATGACTAGTAACGAGATGGATTTCAGAAACTTTTCACTGCAGGAAAGATATCGAGTTATTGAAATTGCTATTCCATAATATCTTTACACCGGCAACACCGGGTATTCTTCCTTCTTCCTAACAGCAGAAAACGAACTAGTATATCACTTGATCAACGATGGAAATCAAGGAACTTTAAATTATTTCTCACTGTTCTTTGTTGACAGAAAAACAAAACAAAAACGAAAACTATTTGTACATAAAAAAAAAAAAAAAAATTTAACAAACAAAAGCAACGATGTAACTATAGACAACTATAGTAGAGGTAAATAATCGATTACAATCACAAGAATATGAAAGACGCATTTCATCACAAAGTAAATAACAAATAAAATAAAACTAGATGTAATTTCGACAAATTGAATCCTGAGTAATTTTAATCTAATTTTTTTGAGTTATAATTCAATGTTTTCAAGAGCAGGTTTTGGTAGTGCTATTCGACATGTAATTGATCTTGGTATGAGTTTATCCAAAAATGTGTCCTGATAAAAATAGTACTATGTCTGTTACTTTACTATAGAAAGTTGATGTAACTTACATTCTGGGGACAGTTTCGTCGTGCATACCATTCCATAAAATAGAGACAACTTTGAAATCCGATACCAACTAACAAAAATACCCACATCATAATGTTCCATGAATTGCCTTTGTTCTTATTGCTCATCAGAAACAATAAAGCAACTAAAATAAATAAATAATAAATTGTCCTGCTCCAAGGATACGTTGACACTTGTACGTACTTCCGCAAACGCCAAAGAATACAAACATGACGGGATAGAAAAATCCAAGTGCAAATATCATTACATATTCGTGAACTATTGCACTTAACAATACAACACAAAACGCTGCCAACGATTTTCGACGATAGCCACATAGCTAAAAAATAAACGTACATTAGTGTGAAATTGCAGACTTATATAGACAGAACATACAACATAAATTTCTTTATAAACATATGTAAATAGCCAGTCATGCACGACAACATTCCATGTTCGATAGTAAGAGGCAAATGAGGTAGAATTCCACCAATCCTGAAAAAAACTCAGAACAGTGAATAGTACAACACAATTGACTAAGAACATAAAGTTCTGAGGTTTTAAGTTTAAGAAAATTTTCGCTCTTTCTGATTTGGATCCTTTATGAAGCAAACTAGACATGTTTTAGCAAAATAAAGTTCCTGAAGAACGTTTCTCATAAATACACCTCTCTACTACTTTTACCTTATAAAACATTCGATCAGAAAACCGTAACATTTCAGCGAATGCATTTAGCCAACAATGCAGAAAACCATAGAATCCTAGATAAAGAATATCAAAAGCATAAATTTATTGATTGTCTGTAACTTTTAAATCTCTTTCAGCAGTTCACCTAATAATAAAAATAGACAACCAGGCATAATCGAGTTGAACAAACATGATGCAAATAACGAGACGGATATTTCCGACGTATTCAAATTCGAAAATGTTGGAACACAAAATCGAACAACAACATAATAAACATAGAATATTGCAGCCAATACTTGGCCAAAATTACTTAAAACATAATCCCAATGAATAACTGAATTACGTGGATATAAATCACGATAAATAAGTGTTGGAGCAAACAGAAAATATAAATATTGTGAAAAATTTGGACAAACAACAGGACGTGCTAACTGTTCACCAGCAGTTGAATCAAGCTCTAAATTAAGATAAAATTGATATTTAATGTAAAACAAAAATAAATATATAATGCAGGCAGGAAACAAGCAATCAAATACTACACATACACGAATAATTAATATGTTTTAAGCGTACTGTAATCATTGGTTAGTTGGCGAGAGTTACGAACCATTGGTGTTAGACCGATCAATACAGGAATGACATTGAGCAAGGACTTTTGCCGTATTTTCACGTACAAACGCGTGCGCTTTCATTAACTGGCGTAACTTAAGAAAAAGCAAAAGAAAATCAGCATATTATCTATAAGCAAATAAAACAGAAGCATTACACACTTGTTCAAGAAGAACAACTAAAGCAGAAGCAACTGGTAATTCGTTTAAAACTACTTCACGGCATGGTAAAACAAAAAAAGCAATTAAATACGTCACATAAATACAAAGCCAAGTAATATCATACAATTCTAGAACCAACAAAAGGAAAAGTTATCGATATGTCATTAGACCGATATGAAAAAATAGCACGGATACAATTGCAACATTAGAAAAGTCGTTTTCCAGTTGTAAATAGACTTTGACTTAGGATAAATTCATTTTAGAATGTTTAGGTTTTGCACTTCTTTGAAGAATTTTCCTTTACAATACGTACTGAGTCGGTTTGAATATTTCACCCTGTTTGTTGCCCAAGCGTAAAAACAGAGATAGACAATAACCGCTGTTGATAATTGCATAACAAGCCATGTGAATAAAGCAACGTGAAGTTTACCAAAACACCAAAAGATCAGTTCAAAATTCAAATTAATTCTAGTGAAGAAATAGAAACAGTGAGTAATTTCATCGCATTAAAATCTCAGCCGGTAGCAAACCTTCCGTTTTCGATGAGGTCATTAATGGTAACTTGAGATATAAACAGAATTAGTATGGCACTAAATATATTTCTTATGCTTCGAATATGAGATACTTCAAATAAATCTGTTAATAACGAATTGCGTTGAAGAAAAATTCGATCTTCTACCGGGCTGCGGCCTAACCTAAAAACGAAAAACAATTTACGATAATAATGTTCAGGAGAAAAACAGCTCTCTTACTTTGAAGAATTGCCTATGACCGATTTAGTTGGTTGTTGTTGAAAGTCGAGATCATTTTTGAATTCAGAAAATCGTTCATTTACTTCATTTTCCATCCAATGGAGTTGATTAACCAAAATTGACTGAATGTTCTAAAAGGAAGGAAAGTATTGAAAATGCCATTTCATTTATAATGGATACAAGCTTAAAAACTAGTGATTTCGATTGAGGGTCAAGTAGTGCGAACCCCTCGCAGGATTTTCTATTCTCCCTTAAAGTTTTCGTCATCATTTTTTGTCGTAAAAAAATGCTGGAGCCTTTTGCCTCAGCATAGATCTTCCTAAGCGTTAAAAAGATCTTAATTGTGCTGTTGACTCAAACAGAACACAACGTATAAGATTAAAAAAAGCCTTTTTGTATCAATAACATTACTAGTATTCAAGGGCAACAATATAAATATGAAGTTTAGTGCAATTGCGGCTGAAACACCCTTAACTTTGTTTAACATGATTAAGAGTTTATTAATAAACTCTTAATCATGTTAAACCTTTTTGTATTCTCTTGAGGATCACTTTCCGCCAAAATGTTAATCCCCTCTTGACCAAGAAATAATCAGAATTGCTGTTTATCATCTACCTGAGTTTTATTTAATAATCGTTCAGCATCTGCTAATGGTTTTTCGTCGATTAAGTCTTCTTCCATTTTGGTTTTTGAAACCTTGTTGTTTGTTGTAGTGCTCACTTCCATTTTCTCTATTTCCAATGAAAAAAAAACAATAGATCACTCTTATGTCAGAATGAGACAGTATCAAAAGAGCGAAGGATATACTTGTCTCGGATGTGGTTGTTATAATGCAAAACAACCTTAATGAATCGTCTGAAAAGAACAAATTTGTTCCTTCGAGTGAATCAGCGAAGCGGCAACTTCACCTTAAATTCTCATGCGTTCTCAACTTTAGGTTGTGTTCATTAAACATTTCTGAGAAAGATGAAGGCAGGTGTTTTTCTTTCGTTAACATGTAGGTTTCTCGAGTGACAAACCACATTCTCCTCTCGTTTGAGTTTACTAGTTTATTATTTTCATAATCCAGTCAGATTATATTACTTTATCAATAAACTAGTAGAATACAGCCAGCAATCCATAATTTGAAAAGAGACTTTAAATTCAAGTTTTATCTCATACAGAAGCTTGAAATAGTTAGTCCATAAATAAACTGTAATGCTAGTAATTAAGCTTTAAAAGTTCCTATTGCATTATATCCAAAGATAAATACGATAATAGCTTCTTTTCTTATGTGTGGCCTCCTATATTTTCTGCCCTTGCACTAGATGCAATAGAGAAAAAACAAGGAAAATGTCTTACCTTTAATCAAGGGACAAAACACAAAAAAATTCAAACAACAACATCTAAAAATGAAGACAAAACAAGCATTCTTTTAATGGAAAACATTGACATCGAAACTAGCTGCAACCAAAATGCTGCTGCTAACACTCCAAAATTCACTTACATATAGTGCATTAATATACTGACTGTTGTGAGGTTGGCGCAAAGGATGAGAGTGAGCCACTCATCACTATTATGTATATAGTGATAGCAAATCTCAAAGTTGAAAATTTTGATTCGTTAGGTCACATAGAATCAAATTCAGTCAGCAACATTTTCGTTGCTGTCAGTTCTATGGAGTGTCAATAGATCTACCCAAAAAGTAGCTAACATGTCTGTAAAGTGCCTACGCTTGTTCTGTCTGAACGGCTACCGTCCAGAGGTTTTACCATACTTTCACGTTACTGAACGCTTGTAAAGAATAAAATTCATGCACGATCCTTGCAAAATGAAGAAGCCAAGCGTGACTGAAATGTTTGACAGACCCACTTAAGACTAGATAGTATATGGATCTTTCTTGCAGAGAAAAGTATGCCATCTTCCCAATATGTTGACAAGCTATAGTCAAAACAACGAAATTGCATGCATATTAAGATATCTTTTTAGCTAGTTGAAAATATTTTAAGAAAAATCTATTCATTTTTATTGTAAGATTTAAGAACAAGAACGTAGAGATACGTTTTGAAACGTAGAGGTGGATTATCGTGTTTTCTATTAGCTAAATCTTTAAGCGAGCTCCTTTCTAGCGTTTCAGCTGTGCGAATGAGTCATCATACGACTGCTCACTATCTTTTTGCACGACATTGTTCTATTACACGATATTTACTTTGAAATCAGGTTAAACATGACATTCCTACGCTTGTGGATTGACAATCACTGATATATGTCTTTTTTTGTAATAGATAATTGCAAAATCATTTGTACCGTAGTACGACTTTTCGCTGAGATATCATGGAGTTCTGAGATATCTCATAAAAATTCTTAAGTGCTCGACTTAACTAAACTTAAGTCTGACTTAAGTCCAGACTTAAGTGAATAAAATTAATATAACACGTACATGTACAAAACGAAGATTTAAGTCGAGCACTTAAGAATTTTTATGAGACACCCTCATGATTATTCCCATATAGTTTTATTTTCTGAGATAATTAAGGGATCAAGCACTGGTTTTTAAATGTTAGATCAATGCTCTTGCAGGTAATTTCCGTTCGGACCGATCAAGAGTGGTCATTTTACTGAGGTGTTAACTACTTTTTCGTGGATATATTTTTAACTCAATTTTGAGTCAATAACCAAGATATAGACCACTTTTTGCGTATAACTCCCACTCATACTTCGCACTTCTGCTACATTTTAATTTTCTATTAAATTATCACTTTAATTTCTCCTCATTACTCATTACTATTAGGCTTTTCAGAAAAACAGTGAAAAACCCAATTTGTTAACCCAACGAATGTTAAGACTATTTCTGACTATCCGCGTCCATTGCTTGTGTATTAAACACAGTACATTTAACAGTCGTCTATAGAGCATTAGATCCAAATCTATTTCTCAGCTTATTTTTCCTTCTCGCCAATGCGCTAAACGACCACGGTTAGAAGAAATGTGATAAGCTCTTATTTTTCAAAAATTTGTAACTCGCGATCGCGGCGCGCCAGTATTTTTTACGGATATCGCACTCGGATCGTGAAGTCGCGTAGCGACTCCGTATATCAATAGTGATTCAGGTTAAGATAACTGTTTTAGATAACTTTCAAAATCAGGTCGCCATTGTGTTTTTCTCTTACAATGGCGACATGATACAGGATCGCGACACGACTCTAGTGTAAATTCTATTCATCGTTTTCTTTTGCTTTAAGCGAAAATCAGTGGAAGTTATATACTGGGCGTCTATTAGACGCCTAGTATATAACTTCCACTGATTTTCGAATAATTTTTAAATCTTGTCATATCTTAGTAATTGATCATTGTCAGATCGGCAGGTGTTAGTCTTGATCTTGATTGTAATTGACAAAGTTTATAATAATGAGAAAAAGAAAGGATAGGATGGTAGTAAAAAAACGCGATCGCATCATGACTGATATAAGTCTCACGTAGTCGTGTCGCGAGTTCGTGATTTAACCGCGTTCGCGGTAAGAGCAGCGTGGCTCATTTATTTTCAGTGTACGAAAAAC